ACTGCTTGTTGTGATGTGGACAATGAAGCAGCCAATAACTGCCTGTGAAACATGAACCTAATTGGAGTGTTATGTCAACGATTTCATACTTTGACATGAAATCGGGCAGAAGAGGAAATAGAAAAAAATCCTCCTTCACACTCTTCATAAACATACTAGCTTATAAACTTGATATGGTGACACAGCCAGCACACAATGGCGAGATTCTGATAAGTGTCAGGGTTTGATCGGCTGAACGAGGTCAAAGTTTTTGTAGAGAAATTTCATCTCAAAAGTGTTTCTGCATCACTGTTCTTTCTGGATCAAAGTTGTTTAACGTGTTCTATTAAAACATATGTCAATCCATTGTTGTTAATCAAGCAATAATATTAGTGAATCCATTTTACTTTATATTGCAAACTGTGGGTCACATCAGATGACCTGTTCAGCTCCACTTGTAAACTTTTTTTCTGCCCATATTTTTTTTTTTTGAGAAACAGATAAAAAGAAAACATTGCAATGAATTTAGCAATTATTTTACTTTATTTTTAATTTTTTTTGTGAATAGCTCAGTATTACTCAGACTTTATCGCCTCACAACATTAAGGAAATTTATCACTGAAATCTTAATATTAAGTATAGAAAAGTACTATCGCAGATCCGAATATGCAAATTCCTTAGGAAACACTGGACAAAAAAACAACAACAAAGTTATCATTTATGTTTCAGCTGTTGTAAAGTGTATTAAAGAAAAAAGGGAGATTGACAGAGGCGGCCAAAAGAATGAGCAACCTAAGTAGCTTAGGGCCTATCCATAGGGGGTCATAAAGATTTCTAGAAATTATCAAAAGTAAAAGCAAAACAAACAAACAAACAAACAAAAAACATCCTACACAAGTACGATTTACAAATGTTAATCTTACTTACTCATTCTACTTGCACTAAATCAAGTAGAATGAGGCCTCTACCTGTATTAGTGCAAAATCAAACTTGTGATACTTGATATTTGCCATATTAAATAAAAATTGATGTAGTCAGACTTTAAATATTTTTGTTGATGAACATATTAACTCTCAACACCTCAGAAAACAAAATAAAAGCTGCAGGGGTGGAGCCATTGCAGTTGTTTCACACGCAAGATAAAAATAATAAACAACTAAATTACAACAAAAAAATAAAAATAGCCCAGCAGAAATTAATGGAAGCAGTAATTAAGTCAATAAAAACTTAAACAACCTCTTAAGCAAACTTAAGTCATTTCTGGTTGAGCAGTGGGTATGAACCATGTAGAAATGCATTGACTCGTGTGATAATGAACAATTATTAGAAAAACAAACATAAAAGAACCCAAATAACTTCAGAAACTCTAAAGTAAGTGTTAAATTAACATTCTTAAAATTATGGCTCATATATTGACATTTAAGAAGGTGCTTTTGTACCTCACCTTTCTAAAAAGTACAGATAACCAGCAAAAGAAAATAAAACTATCATGAAAATCAACTTGCTTTCCACAAAGAACAACACTTATGTGGTAGGTGACAGGTCAGTAAATGATTGTCTTTTATTATAAAAGCATCATGAGTTGTACCATAGGTTATGTTAAACGTCCGATGTGTAAACTGTGAAACACAAAAGTGATGTAAAATGTAGCTTTGCGATTGATGCTAGTTGGAAAACCACATAATCAGACTTTGCTCAGGGCCCCAAACAGCCTGGGACCGGCTCTGGAGACTGAGGGCCGTTCAGCTCCTGTCTTGCAAGAAAAGGTGACAAACAGAGGCTGAGTGGGACAGAGACACTCCTCAGACGGTCCTAAATATACTCCCCGCTCATTTACGTGACACATAAATTCACATTTAAATGGCAGAAAATTGCTCCGGCGGTTGATACTCTGGGACATATAAACATATAATTGTCATCAATTTTGTGTGTGTGTGTTTGTGTGTGTGTGTGTGTGTGTGTGTGTCTGTGTGTGTACGTTGAAGGATACAAGGGGGTAATATAAGATTGAAGAGATGTATTGAGGAATTATGCATCCAATAACTGAGATGAGATGTAAATGTGGTGTGGACAGTGAGTAGGCTGTTTTGTTTTTGTTTTTTTCTCTTTGGGTCGTTCCATGTGAGACTGCAGTGCAGGGGCTAAATGGCAGCCAGACTCATATCCTGTGACTGGCAAGAAAAGGTGGCTGCACTGTACACTGCAGAACTTACAGACCAGTCAATAAGGTTTTTTTTTTGTTTGTTTTTTTTCAATGCTGCACCAATAAAGCAGCGTTTAGAGAACGTAAATAAAAATGATTAACTCATTTTGGATGTCCCAACCTATAGAGGAAGGATCAAAATCAGCCATTTTCTTCCTTGATCAACTCTGATTTGTGATCATCATAAACTGAAAAAATTATATTGTGTACCCCGGTCAAAACATTTATAAAAATCATAATTTTTTTGTTGGTAAGCACACCAAAGCTGTATGCTCTTACTTTATACAAATGAAATAAAGGATAGGTGCACCTGCTTTGATGCATTAATTTTATAAGCTTGTTATTCCTTAGTTTTTTTTTGTTTTGTTTTTTGGCTTCAAAACTCATACTCTTGTCAAGGAACTTGCAGCATATTTTTTTCTTAGAAAGAACCTTAGCATAGGCCTGTATAAAGCTTGCGCAGTGCATCTCGACTTATTATGCCTGACAAAAGAGATTCTCCGATTAGTACCCAGATCTTCTGTGGAAATTACTTAACATTCTGAAGTTGGTATTTCTGATGGAGAAATACCAGGAAATTTATGCATTCTCCACTTCTGGAATACTCATATTTTTATTATTATTTTTTTTTATCTCACCACAATTTTGTTTATTTTGATATTAACTCCCTTCAGATTCAGTTCAGACTGCTGCAGATTAAGTTTCTATACCCCAGGTTTTTGTTTTTCCTCCATCTCGTCATCATCTTTCCCTCCTCTTCCCCTGCGTGTTTTTTCTTTCTTTCTTCTGTCTCTACAGAAGGGTTCCCAACGGAAAGGCAGGGGCTAATACACATGTCACATCGGTTCACGCAGATCCCAATTGTTTTTAGCCACAGAGCAGCTCTCAGAGGTCTGCTCCTTGTGTGTGTTTCCCAGCATGCGTTCTTATATGTTAAAGCCATGCACATACTCTCACACAGCTCCTACGGCCTGACCCACCTTTTCAACCTCACACTGTTGAACGTACAGCAACATTTTCTCTGTTATTTTCTGTCTGGATGTCACCACATGTCACTGGACCATCAACAAGCAGTACAATATGGCTCGGCAGGAGGCCTCCTTACAGACATGTTTCATAATTTGAGTTGTTCTGTCTATTGTATCAGCCTCCTTTGATAAATTTACTTCCAACTGATACAATGCGTCATCTGTTTTTTTTTTTTTTTTTTTTCTTTTTTTTCATTAGCAGAGGACAATTGCTTGTACAGAGAATGTCCAGGACTCTAATGAAGTGCTGAAGCAAACGGTACAGGGCGACAGGCCATGAGGGGCGTTTGCTCTTCTTTACTGTAAATGACGTCCAGTCGGTGAAAAAAATACCATGTATATAGTTAGTTACTTATTTACTTGTAGTTTATTGGTCAGTCTTCTTTGTGGTAACCAGTAAATCTTAAAACACTAACTCAGAATTGACAGATGCAGAGATTTGGATCCACATTTAAAAGGCAGAAATTGCTTTGTATAGTCTTACTTGTAGTGATCGTGGCAGAAAACAGGAGGAGCCTCCATTCCTGGGATATCACTATCCATTCAGATCAGTTTTTTTTTTTTTTTTCCTGGACCGTCTCCTTTCTGAATACTCAGGCTGTTGAGCTCCTTTTATTCAGACTGAACCCCACAGCAGAGCCAGTGAACGCCTTTGAGCAGAGCTGCAGGTGCATAGAGAGAGAGAGAGAGAGAGGAAGAGGAAGCATCTTACAGCAAAAAAGTTGGTAACAGCAATTCCAAATTATAAATTCAATTGCAATTTTAGCTACTTTCTATAAACACAGATGTTTTGCTGACAATATTTGCTGTATTTGTCTGTAAAAAGAAAATAAAACAAACACAAATAACATGGAAGAAAAAACACTGTTCCGCCTTTTTCACAGCTTTTCAACCTTAAGCCATTTGAAGATTAAATAAAACACAACGATACTTATCAATTTATTTATTTTTTATTAGTTAGCAATTCTAAGACGTTTATCCTAAACTGTTGGGGGACAGGTTGGGGAGTGTGTGTCGGGACCGGGGGGGCCCTCATGATGTTGGGACAGATGGTATTTAGCTCTAGCTGTGCCGGGCTCAGTGGGACCCGAAGCTTAAGAGGTTAGGCCTGTCAAAACCACTCTGCTCATTCACTGCCTAACAAAGTGTGGACTGTCAGCCTGTTCCGTTTAATAAACTTAAGATTTTTCTTTTGTCAATGCCCGAGCAACACTTTTGCAACTCGATGACCTGAATATCCCGACATTCTTCCAGCTCAGTGGCAGAGGATGCACCTTTTAGGCAGGGACTTCCTAAAAAAAAAAAAAAAAAGGTGGTAAAAAAATGAAAAAAAAAAAAAAAAAAAAAAAGGTGATTGGTTTTTGGGCAATTATACACAAACTTAAGCCAGAGTTGTATTATTTGTCTTCCAGCTATAAAACAACTAGTAGAATAAATGAGTTCTAGAAATGGTCAGAAAGTTAGTAAATCAATTCATCTTCAACTAATTAGTTTTTTTTTATTGTTGTTCCTGTATTGATATGGTTATGTATTATACTTTTAATTTTATGTCCCTTAAACTTCATGACGTTCAGTTGAAATGGTTAATCGTGAAAGCTTAAACTTCACCACAAGAGGGAGACATACAGTAACGTGCGGAATAATTTTTCAACACACAACTTCACTGCAAAATCTAAACACAGCGAGGCTGAAACACAGTAACTATTTAAATGTGCTCCTTAATTGTTGACTAATTAATAAGTATAACAATAACCATTTGGTCTCCTTCTTAATCTCTCAATTTATTCCAGTGTTCGGTAAGGTCAGAGGCTGAAAGCTGGTCAGTGGGTGACCTGCGCGGGATGCCTGGGTGACATCTGACCTCTGACTGGGCGTGCGAGGTTGACCCTGGAGGACAAGGTCCGACAATGCGAGGCACGTGCCGTGGCCTAATCTCCATGGTAACGTAAGACCTTTCAGGGAATGGTGGGGAGCAGGGTCAGGGTTGTCTTTATGTTGATTGTTGTAAGACATCTGCTGTCGATTGACTCACTGAATGTATGACGCCCCCAAGTGCAAAACGGCTTTTATACGACAGACAGGGCCCGAGCAAGGAAGCTAAAGGCTAACTGGGTAATCTCTGCAGGCAACTGTGATGATGCATTTTGTTCTCACAATCACCTGGAGAGATTCTGCAGTTTGCCTTGCACTCGGTTTTCCAGAGGTTTTGTTTTTAATTATTTTTATTTTTTAATCTTATAGTTCATTTATAAGATTAGAAAAACACATTGTTTTTCTAATCTGACTAAATATGGGATTCTGTGATCAAAAAGGGGGTTTTGTTTTCTAGCTTAATAAAGGAGTCTTTTTAAACATCTTTATGTCTGATTCTCAAAAGTCAAAACATTTGATGACTGGTCAAAAGAAGAACAAAGGGAATAACATTGAGCTACGGTGCAGAACGAGGGCCAACAGGTGCAGTCCACCTGCAGGAAAATGTGTTTTGCATTCTTTGATGCTATACACGAGCACAACATATTACTCCTCAGATTCTTTCTAATCATTACCATTATGCAAGTATTTTTTTTATTAGTTTTTTTTTTGTTGTTGTTTTTTACTTTATCACCACAGCCTCTCCGCTCCCCCCACACCCACTCCAAATTCCCCTCCCCACTGTCTCATCTCGTTCTCCACCGTGTTCTGCTGTGTTTTGGTGAAATCTCAGCTGGCAACTGTGAGTCGTTCACTAGCTGCTCTCACAATGGCCTCTGGGATTATGCTAAACGCAGCGCCTCGGCTGCTCCCCCGCATCGACCGGCATCGACGACGCCCTTTGGAGCGCACAGGAAAGGAGACGGAGGACTCTCAATGAAGATGTCACTGCAATTACACAAGCGTGTGTCATAGACACCCTGTGTGTCTGCTCTTCCTCTTCTTAACCCGCCCCCCCCCACACACACACACACACACACATACACACAGACACCTCTCCGCTTCTCCTCTTTTTTGGGAAAAAAAAAAAAGTCTTTTCGACACTCTGTTGAAGTGCAGCCTCGTCTCTTGCAGGTCTCTCATAATGCAGGCCCCATTTTGAATTTGCATGAATTCAGCATCCAGATGCTTCTGCTGCCATGTTGCCTTATGATGATGTGTACTGTACAGGAGCAGCCTATTGTATTATCGCACCATCAAAAGAATAATGATGCCTTGATTGTCGTAAGTGCAAGTTAGAAAGTACCAGATGGAACCAAATGTGTTAATTTCTGTTCTTAATATTTCAGTTTTATGACGTTGTCACAAAGGAGGAGCTTTCTGATGTGGATGGTACTGCATCAGGAACTGATTGGCTGATACTTCACTGCCAACAGTACCTGATGCATGGCCTTCAGCATCGAAAGAAACGTCACATGACTCCAGCTGTTTTTGATCAAACTTACTCACTGGTTTTCTACAGACAGTAACAAACTTTGTTCAATGATACTCTTTGTGTTTCACGCTTGAAAATAAATATTTGTGCATGCACACATTAGTCAAACCTCTGAACTCTGATGTCTGGCTGGAATGGCTATGAACATTTTCCGACTTATAGGAATGATATATTTAAGTTTGTGTTTGTGTTCTCTGGTGTATAATATTTCCCCTCCTCAAGTCTAAACATTGTGCCTTCAGGCCACACTGTAATAATTTCTGTTCACATGGTACTTCACTGCATGTTGGATCCAAACCTTAGACTTTGATATTTTAACAATAATAGGAACATGTGGCCTCCTTGCAGAAGTTGTAGTGCTTCTTGAACCATTTCACATTTTCTCAGCCTACAGCCACAACTTCCTTTGTGTCTTCTTGCAGTTTTATTTGAGAGACCAACACACAGAAGTGAATTATTGTGAACTGGAACCAAGCAGGTTGTTTAACAACAGAAATCTGAAACTGTGCCATGCATTTGAATGTCAAGCATTACATTATGCTCCATCTCAACCTGCTTCACATTTCTGGAGACTGAACATTTAGCCTATTTTCCTTTTTCCAAAAAAAAAAAAAAAAGAAAAAAGAAAAATCTCATGCTCAGTCAGATTGAATGGAGGGCATCTCTAAAGATCAAATCTTGATATAGATACTCACATGGATTCAAGTCTGAACTTTGACTTGGCCATTCTAAGTAATGAATGGACATGTTGTGTCCTAAAACACTATGTTGCAGCTCTGGCTCTAAGTTCAGGGTCACAGTCCTGCTGAAAGGTCAACCTCTGCCCTAGTCTCAAGTCTTTTGGTGGTTTTATCCAGGATTGCCCTTTACTTAATTCTACCCAATTTCTCTCCATCTCTCACCACCTGTCAGGTCCCAGCATCATGTTGTGTGACCTGAGAGGTCACCCTCACACAACATGATGCTGCCAGCACCATGTTTTACAGTGGGGATGCTAAATTCATTGAACATCCTCTTTCGTGTTTGCTGCGTCTCCATGAACTATTTTCTTTCATTTTTGTAGCTTTAAATCAGACGTGTTGTTGGCTTTATTTTACTAACGGCTTTCTTTATTTTCACTTTTACATAATTGCGAGACCTGTGGAGTAAACAGCTAATATATATTTCGCCGTCAGAATCTCCAACCTGGGCGAATTTGGAAGAAATTATCGTGTCTCTTCCAAGCTGCCATCTGCTTCCCACCAGCTTTTCTGATTAAACCTCGTCTCGCCTTTCAGGTGGATAGTGATGTCTCAACAGGTTTGCGGTTGTGCTTAACTATTCCCATTTTTGATTGACAAACTTCTTAAATTGCCCATCTGTTTTCTTCTACTTTGCGTTCATCCACTACTGTTTGTTAGTTTGTCACATAGAATTTCAGTAAAGTGCATTAAATTTATTGTTTTAATGCGGAAATGTCATAACTTTTGAGACACACTAACCCGAATATAAATATATCTCATTGCTATCTGAGGAATCATGTTCCTCTCTTGTTCGGATTAGACACCTGGATGCCTTTAGGCCACACCTCAGACTCACTATACACTTAGATTGGCTTTTAATAATTAGAGAATAACTGTAAGTTGCATGAGGACACTTTCTCACGCTCAAGTATGCAAAAACACCCATGTCAGGGCTCATTTCTGTCTAAAATAGTTCTTATGATGAATATGAGAAGGAGGAAGGTTCTCTCATCTCCTATCATTTTTGCCTTGATATGCATTTGATTCATTCTGTGGTTTGTCCCTTTGTTGTAGCGTGTTTAATCACTTGCCAACTTAAATAAATGTTCATCAAAAAGTAAAAGGTCTTTCATTGTAGTTTTTGTTTTAGTCTATTTCCGCATTTCCTTGCACTGACATGTTTCTAAATATCCTGAATGCTATTTAGAAACATGTCAGTGCATAATTGCATAATTAAAACTCTCGCATCAAGGGGTATGGCTTCATGCAGAATCTACCTGCCATCTTCTTGTGCACACCCTCTGAGAAGGCAGAAGGTCAGCATCCACGGAGGAAGTGCCAAGTGTCGTTCAATCTACTTATATCAGCAAGCTGCTGGCGTGCGGAAACGCGCAATCACTCGCTGTCTCTTCGTCCCTGAGAGAAGTCCGAAGGAGCCATGCCAACTCCAACAGATGTTCCTTAAGCGCAGGCATCTTGTAAACACCATGAAATGGTTTGGAGGTTAATGTAATGGTTGCTGACAGAGATCTTCGACACAAGATTTGATTATACCACCTGCTGCTCACACATAGCCGATAGCGCAGGATTTATAAAGGCTTCACTACCAAGTTCACAGGGTGACAAACGACTTACACAAAACTAAGAGAGCAGGATCTTAATGGCCTGATTGAAGAGTTTTATACGAGGTGCAACATGTTCAACTTTAATTATGTAAAAAGTCACCAAAATACTAGATAGAAATCAAAAACCTAATTTATTCAACACTTAAAAAAGAAAATTAGTTAATCCAACTTAAAGAAATTGCTTCAGTTTGTAACAAGTAATTCATGTAAGACTATCCAGGGTAATGTATTAAGTTTTCAAGTTGCATAAACTTAATAGATTTCCTTGAATGAACTTAATTCAATTATGTCTTACCATTAAAGCAACTTGTTTTAGTTGAATAAACTGTTCTCTCCTATTTTGAGTAAAAATCAGAAGCTAAATTTATTCTAGATTTAGTGGTGTATTTCAAGCATTTCTGCAAGTTAATTTTTATAACAAACAACTATTCAAAATTAGAATACTAACACCAACAAAATATATATATTTTAAATATAAATATCAAAACACAGGTACTTTGTTTGGACCTCTTTTTGCATCAATTACTTTATCAGTGGTGTGGGGGCGTTCAGCCTGTGGCCATTTTGAAGACTAAAGGAAGTCCTGGTTTCTTCGGAGCATCTGCATATTTGCATCACTCGTCCTTTTGACAATCAGACCAATCAATCACAGCAACACCAGTGGCATTTCAACCTGGTTTGAGTAGTTGTGGTTATGTGGGTATGTGCCAAATGCTTTTGGAAATTCAAATCTGCATCTCCACAAAGTTGGTCATCAGAAGAAAGCGTGAAATGGTTTAAAATGTTCTAGTACGTGGGCCATTGCTGAATTTGGACTTGATAAAACACAGCAAACCAACATCAGTGAAGAACATGGCTTCCAAGTCATAACTGACTATGAAAACTTGACTTAGGTAGAAGCTTCACTGTTCTTCCTCCAGACTCTGGGGCCTTGATTTTTGAAAAACAATTTTAATCTAAAAAGAGGAGTTTGGACCAGATTTTTTATTTGTATTTTTTTCCCCCTATTTTATTCCTTAGCTTGTGTGTTATACATTTAAGGTTGCTTCAAGCAAAGCAGCTTAACATAAATAATGTGAAAGTTGTAGCCCATGTTCTGGATTCATCTGTGTGTGGTGGCACACAGATCACCCGCACTCATTGCAATTCCCTCAATATCGAAGGTTATCCCTGTTTTTTTTCTGCACCCTTTTTTCAATTTTCCTTTTTTTCCTTCTACTCAACTTTCCATGAGTCTGCTTGGGTACACTCTTCTTTCACAACTATCTTTTCCTAACTTACCCTCCTTGTGGTGGGTGTCCTTAACTGCGACATTTCTATTTTAAAAACCCTTTTGTTATCGTTCGTATTGAACATTTAAAAAAAAAATCTGAAACACATCGCTTTTGCTTTTCATGAGGTGAGTCATAATCATCAAAAAAAAATTCAAAAAGAAAAATAAATGCTTGGAGAATGTCACTGTGTGTAATAAACACATGTATACTTTTCGCTCTTCCAGATAAAGCACAAAAAAAAAATCTTTTCATTCTAATTTATTGAGGCAATCCTCTGTGTTTTTTTTTTATTTTTTATTTTTCAACAAAATAGGAATTTACAAATATTTTCTCCTTTACTATCCGTTAGTCCATAGAGGGAGCCATGCTTTTCTCAACCACAGCCGCTGAGAGGAACAACCTCGGAGCTGAACCTGCTCGGTACACCGCCCCCCTTCTCCTCCCTCTCCAGTACGCCTCACTGTACTCAAACAGCATGTTCATCACAACCTTGTTCTCCGTCAAACATCTAACATCCCCTGCTCAGTTTACGCAGTAGCGGGCAGACTGCCGGGCACGCCACACGTCCAGGTTCGCGGCTACGTAACCCGAAGACGGTTTCTGCAGCACCGCTTGGAGAGTTGAAGAACCGCAGGTAAACTCAGGTAGGTTGTCAAAGCGCGATGCATACAGATTTCTCGTTTATTACAGATTAATTCAACACTGTGACAGTTGCTGAAAACGCGAAATTAGAGAAATTGTGTTTGAAATGACTCGAAAGTTTTTTTTTTAATTTTTTTTTTTTTCAAGCGTTCAATAAAAATAAATTACCTGAGGTTATAAGTGAGTCGCCTAATTATTGAAGGATACTTTTTTTATTATTATTATTATTCACAACCTACCATGAGCTCCACAGGTTGCTCATGATCTTGGCACTTATTGGCACATGAAGACGAGTATTACGCACGCACTTTACGCGTGTACACCCTAATCCCCTTTTGGAGAAAAACAGCAGAAAAAACACTTGACTGAGCTTAAGTCGCACATTTCAGCTGGACCTGTGCCAACATAAACACCGAGCCAGCAGCGGGAGATGTTGGGACTCGTTAGGCAATGCCATCAAGTGATGTAATAACCGGTATTAAAACTTGTAGACTTGTCGAGCAGAAAAATGATTCACTCGTTCCCCTGCTCTCCGTGTCTTTTGTTACAGGTCCTCTCTTCTCACAAACTGGGTCGAAATGTTGGGGGTCTGCGTGTGTCTGTGTGCGGTTTTCACGCAGGTTCTGTCTCAGGAGACCGAGGAGCCCGTTACAGTCTCAGTGAGTGATGTGGCCAGTCTGTGTGTAGCGCAGCCTGGCGTTTTCTCTTTTTTTTTAAATGTTTTATCAGTGAGCAGAGATGAGGCTGTTCAATGTAAACCTGAGTCCTGATTTATGTCTGCACAGTGCACAGAAGGCTACACCTATGACAGAGTGAGGGAGCAGTGCAGAGGTAAGAAATGACAGCGTTGTCTCACTTGTTCAGCTTTTCATACAGGTTGTTTTACCTATTTTTTATTTTTATTTTTTTTTCCTGTCAGACATCGATGAGTGTGAACTTCTGGAGGATGCGTGCAAAGGAGGGATGCAGTGTGTCAACCACTTCGGCGGGTACCTCTGCCTTCCCAAGAGCGCCATCATCTACGTTACAAACGAGGTGGACCCGCCTCCGCCGCCCGAGCAGGTCCAACAGGTTCCTGTTGTCCCACCGAACCAGGGACATCACACTCGGCATACGGGGGGCCACAGAGTCTCTCAAGCCAGCCAAACCATTCGCTGTTCGACTGGCTTCACTGCTGATGAGCAGAACATCTGCAGAGGTATGCTTAGCAGATCAACTGCTACCTTAGTTGACAAGCACTGACTTCCAGATACCCAATATAAAAAAAAAACAGTTATTGCTTAATATGTCATTTAATGATTTAAAAGTGGTTTCTACTTTATTAAAAGGGATTGTTCTTTAAAATCGTGTTTGCACTTCAGACCACTCGCCACCTATGAGACAGGAAAATGTGATTCCCCCCCCAGTTTTCAGTGTTTTCTTTAGTTGCAAAAGTATTTTAACGACTATCAACATTGCACACATTATAATTCAATACTTCAAACAACCACTGGCAGGAACAACTTTGACATACTCATTTTCTGTATGACTTTTTAGTTTCCTTGTCTCCTACATAGATTTCTCCCTTCTCCATTACATTGAAATTTGCAGTTGTGATGCAACAAGAAATTGCCTGATTTTTAGCTGAATCCCTCTAAATGTTTTCCAGTCAGTGAATGCACCATGAACTACCAAGAACTATAAACGTTGAGGTATGCTGACTTTTTTTTTTACTCCTTTTTGTACTTAAACAGCTTTGATCTACAGCTGCACAGTATATTGAATCACTATCACTATTATTATTATTATTATTATTATTATTATTATTAGTGTGACCCAAAATCCCAAAATCAAACGACTTCTTAGATGCAATAAGTGGTAGATTATTGTTTTTGAAACTAGAACAGTATAATTACTCAAATTTGTTGTTTGGTTTGACTTAGGTTTTTCTGGTATGTGTGTAAGAAAGACTCCAAAAAAAAAAAAAAAACGACAAAGTCTACCTGTCAAAAAGTAATCATCTGTTTTACATTATCGTTTTTGAAATATCTGCCCCTGTGACGCACTGGTGACCTTTCCAAAGTGTGCCGTGATTCTTGCCCAATGACCACTGAAGATAGAGATTAGACCCCCCACCTCATCCCCACTCCCACACTGTAGAAACAAGCCACTGGCTGATCCCTTTACAATGAGGGCAGGAAGTAAACAGAAAATAGCTTTTTTTTTCTTTGAAACAAATCACTGTATTCCAATTCAGCGTTTTTGGTCTGTTCACAGGTACACATAAAAGGTAAAAATAATTGTCTTACTGAAAGTTCTTGTAGGAAAGCATCAGGAGGAATTTTACGTTTTAAGGCAATTCACCTTTTTTTTTCCAACTGCACTAAACAAATTGTTTCCCCAAACTTGTCTT